TGGCACAAAGCAAAGCAGCACCAGAGGAACCACAGCAGAGGCCAGAAGCTTCTAGGGCCTCGTGAGGACCCGGGAAGGGGGCTACCAGAAAAGCCAGTTCTCCCCCCGAGAGGAAATGGGGCTTGTGTAGAGGCCGGATGACTCCACCTCAAGGTCCAGAGGAAGGCAATACAGGATTCTGGGACCCCGAATTTGCCCATCCAGGCTTTCAAGGAAGAATATAAATGATCACAATAATGGCAAAGGGTAGCCTTCCAAAGGCTGTGGGACTGCAATTCCCAGCATTCCTTGGCACTGGCTGCGCTGGGGGGGGCTGATGGGAGTTGGAGTGCAACTAGCTCTGAACGGCTGCATTTTGCTCCCCCCACCCTGCCCCATTTCTACAGAAAGAAAGGCGGCCACCTGCAAGAGGAGGGGCAGGAGCAGCTTCAGGAGCTCGTCCTCGCCCGGGCGGATCTTCTCAAAGCACTCGAGGACCCACGTCAGGAACTCGTGCCGGTCGAGCATCCCGTCCTGGAAGCAAAGGGACAGAGCGGGTGCCTCTCTCTCTTGCAACAGAGGGAGACCCTTGGGATTCGGCTCCTGCAAGAGGAAACTGGGCTGGCGCAGCACAGCAAACCCACCAGTCTCCTCTGGCAGCCTCTCCCCTTGCCACCTCACCTGGAACATAAACATGGCCAGCTTCTCGTTGTAGTCCCACTGCTTCACTGCGTTCTCCACCTCCTGGGGCATGAGGGCGGAAGGGGACCCGCAGGTTTGGGTTAAGACCTGCCGATGGAAGTCGGCCACTTTTTGCAGCTGCTCCCAGAGGAACTTGGTGATGATCTGTGTCCACTCTGGAAGGAAGCGGGGCCGTCAGCAAACTCAGAAGAGAAGGTTTGCGCCTGACCGTTGGAGGAGCAAAGCCCCCAGGGCCTGAAGGCCACGGCAGAGCGAGGGAGGCCAGCAGGGGGAGAGGAGGACATTGTGTGGACCCAGGAAGCAAGCTGCCCCACAAGGGAACCACAGGTCTCTGCCTTAGCAACAATTCTCAGTGGTTCTTCTTGTTTGTTTATTTACTGATCTGATTGGCATCTGACTTTTCTCCCAGGGCTGCGACTCAAGGCAAAGAGCAGCAAGAGCAAAACAAGCACAGATTTTTTTAAAAAAACACACACATACAATCCTCAGAAAAAACAAAAACAAAAAACCAAGCGTAAACTTTATGACAATGCAATGCAATGAAGCCATTACCGTATTAAATTATTGTAGCAAAAGTGAGACTGGAAAGAAAGAGAGACGAATGCCAGAGGCTTGCAAGAAGATCAAGGCACAACAAGAGACAGACCAACGTCCACTTTTAAAACAAGGCACCCATTCAGTGGGACTCTGCAAGAGAGGAGACGCCGTCCTTACCGCTGAATGGGTCGATGACGTGCCGCTTCTTCACCTTGGTCTCTGTGATGGCAGCATAATAGGCACAGGTCATTTTGATCAGCCAGGCGGCTCTCATGACAGGCACTGTATACTTTGCCAGGTAGCCGAAGACCTCCTCCTTTTTGCTGAAAATGGGTACCTGCCAGGGAAGCAGAGCATGAGAGCTGACACCACAGAGGGGCTGCGGCTGTACTTCAGAGGAAAGTTGCAGCAAAGAGACAAATTAAGGAGGGCAATGCTTCCTGCGGGTGACAGAGAAAAGGAGCCGAGGAGCCACTTCTGACAAAGCCATCTCAGGGCCAAGAACCTCAGCTTCCACCGTGGCCCCAAAGATCTTCTCTGGAAGTCCCCTGGCCCTGACTCCAGCCTACAGCTTGGAGATGGGGAATGATGAACAACAACCCCAGAATTCCACAGACCACACCTGCTCCAGCTATACCAGCTTGCAGAGACCATGCCTACAGAGCTGCTTCTGAGTAATTCCCACTTCTTTAGGCTGCCCCTGGGAGTTCTTCTTTGGCCTCCTTTCCCCTCTCTCCGTCCCGTGCAGTCTGCTCTCTCTCCCCCCTCCCCCGCCCATCCAACCCTCCGCATTATGTTCAAAGCAGGGAGGGGGGTAACTCTGACTGGCCTACAATTCCCAGCCCAGCACACAGATTATAGGACAAGAAATCCAGAAACAGCTAGAGGAACAGATATGCCACACGCTCTTTTAAAGGCTCCCTGACTTGTGGCACACAGAGGACAGATTTAATTTTCTAAGCAGCCCAGAATCCAAGCCGGAGGGACAAAATGGCTCTTTGGGAGACAGATCAGCTCCTTCCCCATCGCTCCCTAATCTGGCGGACCATGTTCTGTCTCCTCGTGGTGGCCGTAGTCCTCCTGTACCTTTTTAGCCAGGTGTGTGAGGGGCTTGGTCCCAGCCAGATCATTGAACCAGTTGTTGATAGCGCTCTGGGAGCGAGCCGTCACCAACCAGAAATTGTCCTTCTGGTTCACTTGGGGTTTCCGGCGGCCGGTGTCAGGCAGTGTGTTGCAACGCAGCTTTTCGGCAATGATGCTGCTGAAATTGGAACTGATCTGGAACAGAGAACAAGGAACTTAGAGCCACCCTTTCATTATTAAGATCCCAGTGGAGATTCCTGCCATCATTTTTTTTACCTTAAAGCAAAAACTTTGCTTTAATTTGCATTTCCAGGCACAATTCAAAGTGCTGGTTTTAACCTATAAAGCCCTAAATGGCCTGGATCCAAGCGATCTCAAGGACCACGTCTCCCTTCATGAGCCTGCTTGGGTGTTAAGAGCATCAGGGGAGGCCTTTCTCTCGGACCCACTACCTTCCCACATGTCTTTGGTGAGGACACAGGAGAGGACCTTCTCTGTCGCTGCTCCCAGAGACTTTGGAACTCCCCCACCCCTGTCAAGGGGGCCAGGCTGGTCCCATCTTGGGACTGTCCTTGACTGGCTTTCTGAGTGGGATTTTTAAATGGAGTGTTATTCATTACAGCTTTGAACATGTTTTTAGAATTGCTTTTGTTTACCATTTCTCAGAGTGGTGTTTGTTTTTCTCTTTTTAATATTTGTATGTGTATTGTTTTTTAGCTTTAAATATTGTCTTTTTTCCTTTTTAACATTTGTATGTGTATTGTTTTCAGCTTTACATATTGTCTTTTAATGATGGAAGCTGCTTTGGGCCCTTTCTAAGGAGAGAGGTGGGGTTAAAAATATTTTAAATAAATAAATCGCATGAGCATCTTTAGCTGTAAACTGTTTTCATCTCAATGTTTAAAGCTTCACAGGGTGATCCCAAGCATAAAGGCACACCCACATTAAACACACACAGAGAGCAATCATTCACTCTGCCTAGCTCCACAATCGCATTACCGGCGTTTCTGTGACTAATGTGAGGATTAGGGCGTAAGGGCCAGGATCAGCAACCCCAGTTCTCCCTGTACAGAAGCCAGGCCTCCACACCGACGAGGAGGACCCGGGCACCTCTCCAGCACGGCCAAGTCCCTCTCACCTTGGCAGGGTTGAAGTTGACGTTTTTGGCACTGCCATGCTCATCTCCAGAGACAGCTGGTTGGTTGTTGAAACCCTGCTTCACGTTGAGAGCCGTCAGTTCGTCCTGCACAGGAAAGGGGAAGCAAATTTCGTAGTATGGGGTCATTAAGAGTGGCTGCTACTGGAAACACTGCAGACTTGGCCCACACTGAAAGGGCGGTTTCCTATCAGCTCCTAGGAGGCGACTCGGAAAACCACAGTCCTTGGAGGACGGGTCCATCAGTTCCAGGGGAAAATCAGTCGTGAGAAAAATAAAATGCAAGCAGAGTCCTCCAAGGTCTTAAGGCATTAGATGCAGCCATTTCTTGTTGCTCCTGCTGCTGCTGTTGTTGTTGTTGTTGTTGTGCATTAGATGCGGCCGTTTCTTGTTGCTCCTGCTGCTGTTGTTGTTGTTGTTGTTGTTACGTGCCGCCAAGTCTGAACCGACTCTCTTGGCGACCCTAACAGGGTTTTCACGATAAGTGAGATATTTAAGGACTGGTTTTCCCGGTTCCACTCCCCCAGTGGGTGTCCATGGCTGAGCGGGAGATTCGAATCCGGGCCTCCCGAGTCCTGGCCCATCTCTCTCTCCCCACGACCCCCCCCCCCGGGTATCCTCGGTGGTCTCGGCCTCGCAGCATCACAACCTTCTCTTGACACCCCAGCCTCTCAGCTTGAGCCTCCCAGCTGGGATCCTGAGCAATGGAGCCTCCATGTCCAGATATAGTCTACCTCCACATAGGAGACAGGTGAGGAAGAGAGAACCTGTGCTGGTGGTGGGGATTGGGGGGGGGAAGGTGACCCTTCCATGGGGCTGACTTCGCAGCGGGGGCAAGAGAGGCCTCTGGCTTCCACCCG